CCGTGACGCCCCACGCAGAGGTAGCGGGGAGGGGGGGGCTCGACTGGAACTTGCCCAGATGCAAATGCCTTTGGAGGAGTGACTCAGCCCTGCGGTTTTCCTCCCTTCCCCACCAGCAGATTTAGCTCCCAAAGAGTTTCAGGGCTGCTGGCAGGCAGGGCTGTGCTGGCAGTGGGGTAAGGGGTCACCTCTGCCTCCCCATGTCCCCCTCTTCCCAGCTCTTCTCCATCTCCCAGGCTCCTTCAGCCTCAACCTTCTCCAATTTGGTCCCTTGGCAGAGCTACGTGGGGATGGGGGCCAGTTGCCGGCATCCGTGGACCAGGGCTGGAGGGGAAACAGGAACCTTGAGGGGAAAAACAACCCGAGAAACTCCCTTCCCCCCCCGGCCACACTTCCTCCAGGGCCGCCAGCATGGAGGGGACTGGTTTGTGCTGCTGGAACACACTTAGCGGGGAGCTGCGGGGACACATGCTGCCTTCAGCACCTCTTCAGGGGCAGGAGTTGCTCCAGAGGGGTAAATGCTATCTCTGGTGGTTGCAACAGCCAAACTCCTATGCATGTCCCCTGATTATTTCCATTTTTCCCGTCTTGATAATTTCACAGAATTGCCTAGATTGGAAAAGACCTTTAAGATCATCAAGTCAAATAATTAACCCAACACTGACAAGTCCCCGACTAAACCATGTCCCTGAGCTCTATGTCTACATGCTTTTAAACACCTCCAGGGATGGGGACTCCACCACTGCCCTGGGCAACCCCTTCCAATACCAGAGAACCCTTTCAGTAAAGAAATTCTTCTTGATATCCAATCTAAACTTCCCCTGGTACGACTTGAGGCCATTTCCTCTCATTCTGTCACTTGTTACTTGGTTGAACAGACCCACCCCAAAAATAATTGGCAGAGGTCAGCACACCCGGAGTGGAGGGGATGAGCCTCACCCTGGGAAAACCACTTGCCTGATCATGGTGTCTTCCCTGGCAGGTATTTATGAAGCTTCACCCAATTTGTCTACCTGGCCAGAGGGCAGAAGGTCTCAAAGGATGCAAAAATCTGACATGGGATAAAAATACCCAGCCAGGTGGAGAGGGAGCCTGAGCTCAGAGACACGGAGCCTGAGCAAAACCCTGGCTGCCTACAGAAAGCCCTGCAGGGGAGAGAGGCAGGAAAATACCCACTGCTGGCCATGACTTTGCAGGAGAAGGTTTCTTGTGAGACATCACTGATGGTTATAACCACAGCTGAGCCCCTCTGCAGCCGTGCAAACACTTGTTGCAGGGCTTGGTGGGCAGCAGTCCTTCGCGCTGACATCCCTGGGGCTGCAGGGTCTGAGTGCATCTGCAAACATCACAGAAACTGCTCGTCCCGTGTGACACCTTGGTGTGATGGGGGCTGTGTGCAGGTCCCTCCAGGCTCTCCATGCACGAGTGGGGCTGGCACCCTAAACAGAGGGGCTGAGAGCAGGCTGAACACCAGCTGAGCTCCCTGTCCTGCCACTCTGGCTCTGAGGCCAACTGGTACAGCCCCTGGAACCTGGTTTCAAGGGATCAGGCTCCACAGATGAACCAAGGCTGCTTGGCTTTCTCAGTGAGGGCATCTCTGGCCTTGTGCTGTCATGGTTTCACAGTGGAAAAAGCATCTGCTGAGTCCAAACTACCCGAAAACATCACATTTTTCATCCCAAGGGCAAGGCTGGAAGATGTGGTTTCCCCCACATACTACATTTCTTGTCGAAGGAACAAGGGTGTGCAGATGGTTTGCTGGCATGGAGGTGAGACAAGAGGAAAGAATGAGAAGAGCCAGACACTGAACCACACAAAACCCAGTGTCCATAGGTTTAGGTCTGGAGGTGGACTGAGTCTCAGCTAAGGCTGAAGCATGGGATTAGTGCTGTATTAGACACATGTGAGTCCACACCAGAGAGAAACTTCCCCTGGGGAGAGGCAACTGGTGCTGCCTGGGCACGACCCTGGATCTGAGCTCTCCTTTGGGCTTCTCTAGTGTCTACTAAAGGGCTGAGCAGCAAGGGTTGCCCTGCAGCATCTCCAGCCGCAGCCTCCCTCCTGTGCACAGCCTGGGGCTGCATCCCCGAGCAGCCTCCTTAGAAGGTACCACATCTCCTGGGAAGGGACTGCATCTCATAGAATCACAGAATGCTTAGGGTTGGAAG